GCAAAATGGTATCATGGAGCAAAGCTGCTCATTCATGGCAGCTGGGAAACAGAACAGGAACAACAGCACGAGAAAGGGAGCGTCCTGGAACTACTGAGTATATTAGCCCCAAGGTCCTGCCTTCATGGCCTACTCAGATACACCCGAATACCCTATAGGTATACCCGACGAGTCTTACAAGCCAGTCAAGTTGACCTAATGAAGCTCATGTGCTTGGAGGTTCTGTCTGTATCATGAGAGTCCTCTCTGGGGTGAGTTATAAATGCTGGTGTTGGGCTGAGTGATACTCACACTCTCTGTGTGTCCCAGCCTGACACCCACCAGCCATCTTGCCCTGGGTGCTGGTATTACACCGTATCCCCGGGGACCATCTGTGGCTCTCGGGGGGCCTTCATAGCCACAGACTGGGTGTTTTTCCACCTCATGACTGCTTTCTGTTTCCATTGAGCTCTATTTTGGAGGATTGAATTGACAGTTGATGGTAAATCGTTCAAGTTTAGAAATACCAATTTACTGTCATCAGCGACTGTAGACATAATTTGTAATTGGACTTGATTAGCACTTTCTTTGCTAACTTCTTTTAACTGGATAGTAATCACATGTGAGTAGCAATTTTATTCGCTCCACCCTTTTTCCCAGTGTTCTTCCTGAAAGCTTCTGGCCATCTCCTTGAACTTACAAATCAGAATGGGTGGAGAGAGAAGCTCAGAATCCCCACAGATGGACGACATGATTTTTTTCTTGACTTGCCGGGTGACAGCCACCTCATTTGGCTCTCTGAGCCACATCTGTATTTATTTCCCCTTTCTTGTCAAAGTGTTTAAATGAAAATGCACATAAATAGGGTTTTTAAATAAGAAACAAGCTATACATCTAGTGAAAAGACTTGTGTTTTATACCAGGGAATGGTGATTTGCTGAACTGGGTATTGATTTTAATTTGCCCAGGGAATCTCAGGTTTCCAGACTGTGTAATAAACCAGCCAAGTTCCCCTCCCACTCAGTGTACAGCTCTTTACGAAGCAGCACAAGCAGCCTCCCCTTGCTCACCTGCTCAAGATCCAGTAGAGTGTCCTACCCCAAAGTCCTCCAGACTTGGGGGTTGCAGCACCATGTTGGGGTCTGAGTGCTTGTGTCCCTTCTGTGGTGGCACTCACTTATTGCTAGATTTGTGTCACAGGACATAGTTATCTCTGCAACATGGTGAAAGGGCCCTGCATAAAGTTTTGGAATCTCACTTAGACTTGAAAGCACACAGTTCCTCTCATCCAGTAGACCTTGTGCTCAGTCATGGGTACATTTGGCTGAAGTGGCCAAGAAACTGCTGCATTCCACGTCATCTCCATGTCATAGCTGTCCCCACAACAGAGGACTAATCTCTATTGTATGTAAAGATGATGGCCTCTTATAAAAGTGCCAAACAACCATAATGCAGGACTCTTTAAATAAGAGTACTCAGAAGGAAAGGAACAGTTAGTACTCATATTGTTTGATCAGTTTTACATGCCTATATCTGGTAACTTGAGCAACTCTTTTGAAGATAACAGTATGCAATACAACATCATTGTTAAATTCCTATCATCTTAACTTGAAATCCTGTATTGTTGCTGTTTTGGATTATTTTTGTTGTTCTGTTATTCTGGACTTTTTTATCTCTAAAATAAAATAAGAGTACTCAGCGTGTTTTAACTTACAGAAGCAGGTCAAATATCTCAACAAGGTTCCTAGGATAAACAAGCTATGTTTGATAAGGGAAGAAGCAGCAGTCACAGTTGTTCCTGGAATACAGCTTCGGTGACATGCTGGGGACAAAAGTCGGTGTAGGTGTAGGGCACTTGTTCTCTGTGATGTGTGGCCATGCAGCTGGCTGAAAGAGAGGGTGTGGGTTGGTGGGAGCAGCAGGGCAGTGCTGACCCCTTTGTCACGTCTGCAGCAGGCGTCTTCTATGTGTAGTTCACTTCAAAGGGACGCCAAGCTCCTTCATGCTACACGATGGTGTCAGCTAACAGCCCCTGTCTTTTCTGGAGGTAGACGTCAAAGCCACACATGGCCTTGCAGCAGCTACTTAGGAATCCAGTGCTTAGCTGTTCTGATAAGTTCTTGTTGAGAAGAGAGAAATGTGTACCATCGGCCAGTCTGTGCATTGCACATAGCATTGTGATAGGATCAAGTAGTATTTAAAATGAGGACTAAGGGGCTGGGGATTTAGCTCAGCGGCATAAGCAATTACCTTGCAAGTGTGTGGTTGTGAGTTCGATCCCTGGTACTGATAAAAACGAAAAAGATCTTCCTGATCCCAATTAAAATGAGGACTAAAACCAAGCATTTTCAATTTAATAAGAATATTTCACTGTTATTCTCCCTTTGAAAAGTAAAACAGCTTTAAATGTTTCTATATGTGTGGTTTCTCTCAAAATTTAAGCACAGATCTTCTTTGCTTAATTTGGATTCTCCTATCAACTTTACCAACAAGAAAATAACATAAAGTTTTAGTTATAATACCTTCTTTATACTATCCTTTTAGAAATACTTCTGAACCAAGGGTGCCCTGGACTTTGATTAATAGTATGATGAACTTTATTAAACTAATTCTGGAGCATATATGTGAGGTGCACTTTAAAGAACAAATTCTAGAGGGAAATATAATGCTATATTTGCTAATAAATATACAATAAATTTGCTAATAAAAATGCTAATAAATGATAAACCAAAGGATATACAGAAGCAGAATCCCCAAACTGGAGTCACATTTTTCACTGGATAACCCTTGGATGTTCCAGAGTTGGTCAAGTCTCTGTAGTCACACAAGCATTTTTAACAAGAGTAATGGGGGTGTCCAGCAGTTAGTTTAATGGACAACTTGGTTTTCTAAAAATATTCTAAGGAATTTGTCCTGTGTACTTGGGAGTAAAGCATAGCTAAATAATATCTCATGTGCTAAATTTTATGTGTTACTTTCAAATAAGTTGGCAGAGCAAACAGCTATGTTAGCGAACACTGAAATAGTAGTGGATATATTAACCTCATCATATTATGAAGTCAGTTTCTTATATGTCAAGGTATTAGATTTTTTCTTTTAGCAATGACCTTCCAGGAAAGCAGAGCAGATACTTTTGGATTTGACAGCCCATAAAATTGGACTTCTCCTTCAGGTCAGAGCCTTTGTAGGAGGGAGAGACAATTTTAAGTGAAAGTGTCCTGATTTTGCCACTGTGAGCTCAGGCATTTTACAAAGGCTTATCTAGTTGTCCATTACTATCGTCACGAGGACATGTCTGGACTCCAATGCTGGATCCCACTATTGAGCTGTAACCAGAGGGTTTACTAACCACAGGTGGTACCCACATTTCATGAGGCTGGTTGGCCATGCCCAAAATCTGTTGCAGTATAAGTTCACAACAATTCTTTAACACAACAAAAGAAAAAAAAATGTTTTACATAGCATATGAATTTTGTTTTCTGTATTTTTCAAACTACCTATAAAAAGTTGATCATTTCTCTACATTTGGGTTTAAAATAGTTTGTAATTTGCATCTTGTTGTTAAATGAGGCTGTAGAGAGGAGAACATTGCTATATTTGATTCTCCTTTTTTGGGACGTGAAATCTGTGTCTTTTAGGAAGTTCTGGCTCTTTGGGGATTAGCATGTCGTATTACAGAGTATACGAAGAGAGGAGGGAATAATACCTGGAAATGGGTCAGGTTTCTGCCGAATGTGTCCAAGGAGAGCATATGGGTTTAGTTGCTTAGTTAGGAAACGGTTCCAGGGTGGGTGGGAGTTCAGTACTAAGAGGTGTCCCAAGGCAGAGGGGCTGCCATCCTGCAGCACCATCGCTCATGTGTGCAGCAGGAAGAGATAGGTACAGAATAGATTTGGGGGCAGTCTTCTCCCAGGAAGGGAAAGTGCTGGGCTTGAAAGTCAGTAATACTGAGCTTTCCTTCAGACCAGTGCCTGTTAGCAGTAGAGAGACAAATTTAAAGGGAAGGGTCCCTATGCAACATTTTTGAATGTAGACTGTGTGGGAGGCTTACCTTGTGTATGACTCAACTCTGTGATCACCAAGAGAGCACCTGTGATCACCAAGGGTGCTGCCTGAAATGGGAATCGCATCCTGGATCCTCCTGGGATTCCAGTAACATCAGCTACAGGGTGCAGCTAGAGACTAAGTGTATTGATTCCTATGCAGTCAGTTAGCCTATAAATTACTCTGTGACAACAGCGTAGTTTAAACAATTACCTTCTGTGATGTTTCCCATGGAGGGGAGCATTTTTTTTTATAAGAATGGAGCTATGGACATATGCTATTCTAACTAAAATAAATATACACTTAACTGTGTACACCAGTGCGCTCTAATTATTGCTTTCTGGGTTTACTGAATTTAGAAACCAAGAAGACACAAAAACTCATGTGCAATGTTTTATGTTGTACCTGTAGATTCCTATAGAAGACATTTGGCAGAAGCTAAAATTTCTAAATCTGTTTTTTTTTTTTTTATAATAGCATTAGAATGACTGAGGGAGACTGGGTGTTTTTCACAGAGGAAATGAAATATTTGAAAACTTTTGAATTCTTTTTTGGGGAGTATGCAATATTCGTTGCCTTCCTAAACTGCAATAAAGCTGGTACTTTATCTCTCTGATGAACAAGCGGATGAAAATGAATGTTTTTATCTAAGGCTGACCACTGGTTTCTGGGATTTTAATATTATTCCTGCTTCACTACTTTAACTCAAAATAGATAAATAACAGCCTGGGGAAATAACTCTGGCTGCCTTTATTCTTCATGCTGAAGAACTCATACTTAGAATTCAATAAATAATAAATAATGTAATGACAAAGTGTGACCTTAGAAAACTTGACTTTTTCTTGCAATGTGCTTTGCTAGAATCTGTGTTTTTAGCTCACAGGAGAACGTCCTCACGTTGGCCCCATCCCAGTTCAGTGAGGATTTTATGTTTGTCCTCTCCCTGAATTGTTCGATTGCTTCTCCTCCTGTTTCAGGAGCGGCTTCTGCTGTCTCTGCTGCCAGCCCACATAGCCATGGAAATGAAGGCTGAGATCATCCAGAGGCTGCAGGGCCCCAAGGCGGGCCAAATGGAAAACACAAACAACTTTCACAACCTCTATGTCAAGCGGCACACCAACGTGAGGTACGCAGCAGGGAATCGTGTGCCCGTTGGGGGACGTTCGTCACTGGGAGCCACGACTTGCACCATCTCACCTTTGTGACTGTCCACCCTCTGCAGGTGGAACGAACCCCAGTCCATCCCCACTCTGCCACTGCTGGACTTGCACATTCAGAAAAGGACACATGGTCCTCTTTGCTTGATTGGGTTGAGTTGGCCTGGTAGACTCACTTCCCACGCTGACCATCAGTCACGGATGGGAGAGGGCTGAGCGGGGTTCTTCTGCTTGAGACCCTGTGTTCAGATTGTGGTATGATCAGAGCAAAGGCCTATGGGTTTTCAGGCACAAGGACTGATTGCTCACGAAGGGCTTTAGGGAAGGCCCTCGTGAAGCCGGCACATTCCAGGGAAGCTGGGTGTTCTGTTTCCCACCAGCAGCTCTGGGTTTCTGGTGCATGGCACTAACAGGGACTGATGTGCACCTTCATGAATTCTCATGAATTATGACCTAAATGGGCAGCCATACAATCTACTTCCCAAGAAGTCATTTCTGGAGCCATAGTGCCCAGAAAGCTAGCATTCCTGCATCTGGGATTGTGGAACACTAGAGAGGAAACATGTGGACCCCTCAATTCAGGATGGAGAGAGAGTCCTTCCTTAGCCTCATCTCCCAACCACTGTAGAGCCAGACCCCTCACCGAGTTTGGTGCCTGTCCTTTCCTGGTCCTTCTTCTGAAGGGGATTTGTCCTTCTGTCCATTCATTATGTTGACGTGACACTTTCTGTTCTAGGTTACTGGCCACCATAAAGAACCTGGACATATACCGAGGCTTCTTTAATATGCTTTGGTGCTGTTAGCTTAGCTGTCAGGGTGTGGGTTTGGCCAGTAGTTCAATAACAACAGTCACAACTGATCTTTGTAGAGCACTGGCTAGAACTGGGACCCAGCCTGCTGCCCCAACCCCAGTCTAGGCCTTCCTCTCCAGCCTACTGCCCCCCACCCCAGTGCAGGCCCTCCCCTCCAGCCTGCTGCCTCCTGAACCAAAAGAGTTTTGAAGCCCACTAAAGAAAAGCAAAGATATCTGAAATTTACATACATTACTGGGATAACCTCATTTGATAGCAGATTTTAGAAGAAGCATGCAGAGTCAGAGACGTTATCGCACGTGACCCAGCGAGTGCAGATGTGCATACCCAATAGGAAACTCAATTCGGAAATGAGGTCACAGAAACATCATGGCATACTGAAGAGGAGCTAAAGAGGTGCTGCTGGTGAAGACACCACATATATGCAAAAAAAAGTTCACACATGATTAAGGGTATGATTATTTAAAACTCTGGACATCCTTCAGGTTTGTAAGCACTTTGCCTATAAAATTAAAGAGGAATCCATAGAACTGGACAAGGTATAGGATACACTAGTTGCTCTCTCCAGCCTTGTGAAATTTGGCAGTGGCTTTCCTGTCACAGGAAATGCTTTTAAGTGACAGGTGGTAAAGGCAGGTGCAGTTGTAGCTAATCAGGGTCACAGAATATCCATGAGTAATTGTGTTACCCTCTAGGAACAAATACACCTCAAAAGATGACTGGAAACACCCTGTGCTCTGGCAGCTAATGACAGATCCTTGTGCTGTCTCTGCTACTGATTTCTGTATAGCAAACAATCCCCAAGCACAAGGGTGTCCAACAACACCACCGTAACCTCCTAGGGTGTGGGGGTCAGCAATTTTGGAGGAACTTGTGCAGCTTTACCAGGCTCGTCCCTGTCATGAGGTCACAGCCAGTGTCAGCCAGGGCTGCTGGAGGGTCACCTTCCTGAGAGGCTCCTCCAAGGTGGGCCAGTTAGTGTGGGCAGTTGGCAGGAGCCTCGGTTTCTCTAGTCCTCTCTGTAAGCTTCTGGAGTATCACTGTAACATGAGCTCCCATTCCCTAAAGCAGGGGGTCCAAGGTAGACAGGGCAGGCCTTTTATGGCCCAGCCTAGAAGGTCGTTTCTGTCAGTTCCTGTTGGTTACAAAGGTCAGCCCATCCAGTGTGGGAGGGAATGGCACAGTGGCATAAGTATTGGAGATGAGGATCCCAGAGCCATCTTGAAAACTGACAACATTGCTGTGCACCAAAGAATGAGTGAACACACTTTTCCTTCACAGACTGTACAGCATGAATCTGTAGTGTCAGACTGTATCACAGTCCCTAAGTTATAGTTGGGACCCAGATATTTTAAACACTTAAAAAGTTGCCCATGCTATGTAGAATGCCAATTATTTTAATAGAAGTGTGAAAACATGTGGTCCTGGAGGAGACAGGATAGGCAAAGAAGCAGACTCGATGCATAGATCATGCAGCTGGTCCAGGGAATACCTAGGTGGTTTTTGTTTTGTTTTTAAATGAGAATTATGTTTTCTCTAAATTGTACCAAAAAATCAGTTGCAGCTTCTTGGTTCTGCTTGACGTTCTCTGTGAATACCAGATGCTGGCCCTTTCCTATCTGAAGGAAATAATAATAGTACCAACACATGTCGTTGTGCAGTGACCACCACTTGTCCCTTGCATCCCTGTAGCCTTCCTCGCAGCCTTTCCCACTAGTTCAGAGACACTCACAAACCTACGAGAGCTTTTAAAACTTACAAACACAAATAAATCAAATAACAACAAACATATTCCCCTTCATCTCATGCATCACCCAACCCTGAAACTGCCTCCTTCTTTCATAGCTAATTCTAGAAAGATTTCCCTACACTGTCTGCTGAATCTACCTCATTGTCACCTCCTCTTCAAATTGTCAGCCTCTGGTGTGCACCTCTACCAAGCCACATAAGGATTCCTGCTAAATTCACCACCAGCTTGTCCCACATCTATGGAAGACACCTGCGTCTGTATCAGACTGACTGCTTAGATGTCCTGGGCCTCACTCAGATATCGTGTCCCACACTGACCCTGCCTCCCGCAGACCACTCAGATGACCTGTCCCACACTGACCTTTCTCCCTGCTGACCGCTCAGATGTCCTGGGCCACACTGACCTTTCCCCCCACTGACCAGTCAGATGACCTGTCCCAGACTGACCTTTTTACCTGCTGACCGCACAGATGACTTGGGCCACACTGACCTTTGCCCCTGCTGACCGAATGCGCCTGTCCGTCAGTCCTCATGGCTGTGCATTCCTGTGCGCTCTTCCTTTTGCCTGCCTGTGGTTTTCTCTTCCTGGGGTCTAGCCTCCCTGTCATGGTGTCATTGGTGCTGTCTTATGGCTCTGCTTTCCCTTCATCCCTCTCCCAGGACTTGAGTTCCCATACTTGACGTTAATGAAGCAGCTGTGCATATTTGTGTGCAAATGCCTGCTCCAGTCCCGAGTCCCGTTCTTTGCACGCATCCCAGAAGTGGATTTACTAAGCCTCATGGTCTTCTACGTTTATTTTTACTGTGCTGTTTTCCATTTGTAGCTGTGAAAAATTTCTTTTTTTTCCTGCCTGTTCTTTGCCTTTACCCTGCTACAGCAATGCACTCAGGTGCCACTTTCTCTGCACGCTTGCCGACACCTGTTATGTCCTGAGTGTTGTTTTTGTGCATCTAATGTTCATCCTAAGGACTGTGAAAGGGACGGCTTTGGTTTCAGAGTATCTTGAGCCACATCACACTCCCTACCCAAATGGTTAAATCATGCACAGGAATTGAGGCTTCTTTACAAAAATCAGAGAGATGTGCGGGAGGAGCTGTGACACACCAGTGGGGTTGGGTTTCCCATTCTTGGCACCATGCAGGCTCCAGGGACCCTTATCCCTCTCCCCAATGTGCACACAGCAGTGTCCTGAGTGTGATCAGGGCTCCTCCACACCTGGGCCGCACACCCCTTCCTCTCCCAGCACTCCAGCACTGTCCTTAAAAATGATCTGAAGTGAGGGCATCCTTCGGGGGCCTTGTATGTGTAATGTGCTACTCTGACCACATTCTGAGCCTTAGGAGGAAATTCTGTGTCTGCTTCACCCTGGTCTGTGATAAATACTCCTGACTCATTGTTTGACGGGGCCGAGAGATGTGGAGGGGGCTGGGGAAAGGAGTGCAAAAGGAATTCCGACGTGTCGTGTCCGTGTACCACCTCCCCACAAGGAGTGTGATCGTGTGTACTGCAGACGTGAATGCACAGAAATAAAAACCAAAACCAGATGAAACAAAACCCAAAAACCCTTAATGGGGAAGATTGGTCTACTTTTTTTCTTTGAATCAGTCTAAACAGGGGTGGGTTTTATTATTTCTCTGTCTCTATCTTGTGAATTTCTGTGATGTAAATCGTGACAGTTTGAGTGGAAACACACTCAGTGGGTTGCAAGTGGGCTCAGTATGGTAAAGTCAGAATGTGCGCTGCTTGCAGAGAAGGACAGAGGAAGGCAGGTGATCCAGGAGAATGACCGGGAACCAGCGTATCCCAGCAGGACTTTTCTGTCCCCAATGATTTGTCATCTCTGCTACAAAAGTGTAGCTGGGTCCGTAATTGCTGTTCCAGAATCCAGAAGGCTGAGTCAGGAGGAGCCCAAGTTCCAGCCCAGCCCAGGCAGCTTAGGGAGACACTGTCTCAAAATATGAATTACAAAAATATAGGGGCCCGAGATGTAAGTTAGTATGAAGCAAAGAGCCTGGGTTCAATCTCCAGGACCATCAAAAAAAGAGAAAAAAAAACATGAAAGAAGATTTAATGGGAAATTTAACAAGAGACTTAGATATTCCCAGGAAAGTGACATTTTTCTCATGAAAATATGAAGCGTAAAACCAAGCAAATAAAAACCTCTTAATGGAAAAGCCACAATGACTTTCATAACAAACTTCTGATTCTGTCCCCCAGCATCTTATACGCCGACATCGTGGGGTTCACTCGGCTGGCGAGCGACTGTTCCCCGGGGGAGCTGGTGCACATGCTGAATGAGCTCTTTGGGAAGTTCGATCAGATTGCCAAGGTGAGGCCCGGCTTCCCTCCCACCGCGAAGCTCTCTAACCCTGTACCCTGGTTCCCTCCATCCCACTGCCAGTGGCTCAGTTTTTCATGCAAACCTCTTTCAAGACCATTGTGTATAAAATCATGGGCTTTATTTGTCACTGAGCTTTGATGAATCTCAAGTCCTATACCTGGGATGACAAATGCCATACACATAATTACCAAGTTTTCATCTCATTGTAGAATCCACTTCTGTATCATTCAACATGTGTGTCATACACTCAAGATGATGAGGCTTTTTGTTTCCGGCTGTCTGCACTGATCTATTTTAGGATCTCTTAGTGGCATTTCCGTCTTGAGGAGTTGGTAAGATCATCTCTGCTCCTCTGGTGTAGCCATCCTGAATTCCTGTTGTTAAGCAGGGCTCTCAGAAAACCCTTAAAATAGGACACATTCATTCTGTGCAAGCTTTTTGCTTCTTAGTGTCTCCTGTTCATCCTTTGGCTTTCGTGGCACTTGAACAGAAATGTGAATTCACGGTTTGCTCCAGATGTGCTCCTGTGGGAAATTACATGCATGGCCTGGGTGACAAGTTCCCTACAACCATCCTAGACCCACTTGTGAATGCTGGTGGAAAGCGCCCAGCCTCCCTCGCCAACTCTTTGCTTAAGGAAAACATTTCCGGTCAACCTAATTCTGTCTTTGAATTGTTCTCAACAAAAGTGGCTTTGTTATATCTGTTGATATTGGTTATTTATATGTGAGGGGGCTGCTCTTAAATTTAGTTCACCGTAGAGTTTAGCCCAGGTAAACAATTTGGAACCCTTCAGCTGAGTGTCCTCAGCACAGGTCTGGTCTGCAGATGTTGGATGAATGCTCTTGAGTTCAGCTGCCCACACTGGCTGACTCAAAGCACTCAATGGGGATTTTAGAAAAACAGTGGAAGTGTAGTTCTGATTCCTCCCATTATGAAAGGGAAGGAAGTACATGTGCTTCATAGATGACCACTTATAAAAAAACAAAGGTCAAACTCTAAATATTGCACTAAAAGTTTTCACTAATAAAAGGTTATTTTTTGGACTACCTGGTCATAGTAGGAAGAAATATCCCTGGTGCTGGCTGGTCACATAAATACTCACATGGCCGTGTCTTCTCTGTGTCCATGCCCAAGTTTCTACATTGCCCCCCCTATTTAGGGACAGATGCCATATTAGGCTGGGTCCCACCCTGTACCATAATGACTGTATCTTAATTACATGTGCAATCATCCTATTGCCAAATGAGATCACATATCCAGGGATCAGAACTGACGCCACCAGATGGGGTTGGGAGGACACAGTTCATTACTCCTAATAGAGGTTTTTCACTGTGACCTCCACTAACCAGAACAAAGAAATGTCTGAGATATGCCTGGGTCCAGCCCTGGGCTGATCTGGTCCATCGATTGTTGGTTGAAAGGGTCTCACACTCTGGAGACTGTTCATGGCTTACAGTGAAATTCCATAAATCATATCCTTCAATCCCATGGACTCCGCATCACTGCCAGGAACTGCTACGAACCCTCATGCTTTCCAGAAGCAGAATATCTAGTGAGGCAGTGTGAGGGGGGAAAAGAATAAGTAATTGTTGGCTTTTTTCTTGTTTATGATGTTGGTATTGGAATGACTAAACACGACATCAGTAGTGCTGTAAATAAGGATGAAAGTGCATTTTAGCATGTGAGCTATTAAACTGAAAAAGAAACACATCAAGTCACCAACAAACGTAATGCATGCTTAAGAGAAAGAAAATGTCACGTTAATATTATTCTTTGAAATTTATTGGTGTCAGAGGAAAACAGTCTGTGTTTGGGAAATGTTTGTTGCTATTTCACTTTCCTGAAAAGTTCATAAGCTGGCTGAAAAGGTGAGGGATGGATGTAGGATTGATGTGTATGAATACAGTTAATGTACACAGTATAAACACAATCCACCCAAGAAAAATGAGTTAGTGAAACTTTGCGTTAGATCATTTTGACCTATGATCAGAGTTATTATTTGGCCGTGTTGAATGCTGGTTTTTCACATTGTGAAGATATTTATCAGTGGCTGCATGTCAGATTCTGCAGGTCAGAATCTGCTTTGAGTTGAAAATAAATGAAGATGATTGTAGCAGAGGAGGGAACAGCAAAAGACTGTACTTCAGACTGATTTCTAGCCAGGGATGCATGCACTAAAAGGCTTCCTCTTAAGAGAATGCTTCCTTTCACGTGTTTGGAGATGCCCAGGTGAAGGCAAAGGATCCAGCCCTTATCCTCCTCTGCTTGTACTAAGTGTGAATAATTCCAGGGCTTCTCTCCACTTTCCCATTTCCTCCCCTCTCCTCCATTCTTCCTGTTTTGGACATGGACCTGCAGGTTGTGTGTCCAATGCTTGCTGGATAAATGGAGGGAAGCTTGTGTTCCCCCGCAAAGACCAGCATCACGGAACCGGCTCTTGCCGGTTCTGGGTTACCGACAGGGGAACGCAAGTGGAATTCTGTGATTTTTTCTCTTCCAGGAGAATGAATGCATGAGAATCAAAATTTTGGGAGACTGCTATTACTGTGTTTCCGGACTCCCTATATCTCTTCCTAACCATGCCAAGAACTGTGTGAAAATGGGATTGGATATGTGTGAAGCCATAAAGTAAGTTTACTGCTTATGAGACTCTTTTAAAAGGTTAACAGTTCTGAATTGTAATTCTCACCTGTAAATATTTCTACTTTTTTTCTATGTACTGGCGTTAAATGCAGTATTGCACATTTAAATATAAATATGCATAGGCCATTTATTGCTTATGTGAGTAACTCAGCCCAAGGCTTCTTCTGTAAATAGTTGCTGTAATTATTATCACCCTTAGATTACAACAAATCTGAGTTGAGTTCCTAGAAATTTCTAGGAAGGTGCTGTTTGGTTGTGACTTCAAAATTTTTTTGTTGTCTTCTTTGATGCCGAGGAGAAAGTCTCTACCCTCAGTGTGTCTCTAATTTCTGACAAATGTGACCATATACAGCACGGAGGGAAAACAAAACAGTGTATTCTACCCGACTATAATTAACTTAAATATCTAATTCAGAATTGCTGCGTCTAGTTAAAAATGTATTCAGTTCTATGCGGTAGTTTCTTTATTATTTGCATTATGTCTATTTTTTATTGGGATTCTAGAGCTTTGTTTGTTTGGAATATTGTCACCAGTACCACTGACAGGTCTGTGGTGAACATAAGAGGTAAAAGGTTAATACAGGAAGCAACATGCTTCCTTCTTTAGCAGGGCCCTTTGCAGAAGCAGGAACAGTCTTAGAAAGGGTAGAACTTTTTCTTTGCTGATTGCATAATCAAAGAATTTTAGTTTATTAGGTTTTTACTGTTGATCAAGTGATTTTTTTCTCCTCCTCTGCATATTGCCTTTATCTTAAAAGAATAAAGATTCTAGTTAGTCCTCCATATTCTCATTCAGTGCCTTAGGTGAGAAAACCAGAAGCCACAGCAGTGCTATGCATGTCTGTCGCATGCTCTGGAGTAGCTCATTGTTTGCAGGTGGCTCTCACAGGGTTCTCGGGGAAGAGGAACGGAGACCTTGACCCTCAGCCAGGGAAGCCAAGACACCCCTGAGGAGGTCAGAGACTCACAAGGTCCATCTGGGTCTACTGGCTCCATAGTGAGGAAAGGGAGAGACATGACAGGACACCAAGGGGAATAGAGGGGGAAGCAATCACTGTGGACTCCGTGAGCCCCCGTGTGAATCACATCGTGTGGGAAATAGCCCAGTTACACTTGCCTCGTCCCATAAATAAATCATGTGTTTTCTCTGTTGCATGATATTTTTTTTTTTACTTTTCTCAAAAGCAAATAACTACCACAGCTATGCTGGTCTAGACATGAGTGACCCCAATTAAGGGAAATAATTATCTTTTCTCAAATTTATGGCCCGCTTCTAGAGTTACCATATCCATTTCCTATTAGAGGAAAGCACTTTCCTTCATTTTCTTTTCAAATAGATGCAGGAAATATTTTTATGAAGGGTAGAATATGTGTATCAATAATATGTTGGACTCCCTGCCCATCCCCCTTCCAAGCATGTTCCCAAAAGCGTTCAAGGCATTGTATTACAGTAATCTGTGCACACCTGTGTTTATAGCAGCACAAATCATAGTGCTTAAATCTTGGAAGCAGCCCATATTTCCACCAACCGAAGAATTCATAAAGAAGATTTGGTATAGTGTTGCATTTATGCACAATGGAACGCTACTCTGCCACAAATTTGAGGCATTAGTAGAAAAATGGGTGCACCCTGAAACCATAATGTTCAGCGAAATGAACCAAGCACACAAGCTTAAATATTACATGATTTCTCTTATTAGAAGAAAGGCAAAGTATAAATAATTTAAACAGAAAAATAAAAGCGAGGTATTAGAAAACAGGGAGGTAGAACTTTTGCAAATGGGAAAGAGATCTAGAAAGGGAAGAAGGAGGGAGGAGGAAGAGAAAGACAGGAAAGTAAAAAGAGTTAAGATAGTCGTGAGAATGCCCAGTGCTCTCATGATGGCCGTAATCATGAACTGCAAACTATGCGTTAATAAAAGTGTAAGGAATCAAAAAATAAAAGTTCATAATTATCTTAATATATTGAAATAAACAATCTACTGTTTTTTGAGGGTTGATTTCCTCTCTTTAGAATCAACTGTTTTCTGATCCACGAAGTTTGCTTGCACAGTATGTTGAAAGGTTTTAGGAGGAAGAATCTGCACTGTGCTTATTGCCCTGCCTCCAGGTCATCAGAGGTGTCTCTATCTGTGTCAGTGTTTCACGGTAGTAAAACTTACATAGCACACATTGATGCATTCAGAACGCTGTGCAACCAACCATCTCCTCTGCCTTCTCTGGAGCCTTTTCCTTGCCCTGGACAGAAACTCTCTACCTATAAAGCACTAACTTACCCTCCCCTCGCACCAGGTCCTGTTCATCTCCGCTTCGCTTCCTGTTAGGGGTCTCACACGGGAGAAATCCCTCGGTGTTTATCCTTCTGTTTTGCCTTTTATCAGGTAGCACACTGCTGTCATGTCCCAGCACATTTCAGTGTCTCATTCCTTCTTGTGGCGGGATAAGATGCCATCCTATGTTAATGTGCTGCTTCATTTACCTTGGACGCATTAGTGATATCATAGTATGTGTCCAGAATTCTAGGAATTGTAGGAGACAGGAAAAAGCTCCCTTCCCAGTTGCTTATCCCTAAATTCAGTTCTTCAGATCACATCACAGTGGTGTGTCCCAGTGCCCTGCCACTGCAGACCAAGGGACTCCACATTCTTCCTCTGTTACATGTCTAATGGGTAGTTGATAAGATAATCAAAGATAGACTGTGCTGTTGTGCTCCCAGCCGTGTGATGATGAAGTGAGCACCCCAGCAGATTCTAGGGGTTCTTTGCTCTCATATTTTCTCACACAGAGGGCAAGTGTTTGTGCACCCATTACTGACTCATAAGATGGAGGTGAGAACTTTAATTTTTTTTTTAAATTTTATTTAAGGAGAAAAAAAAGCAGAGAAAGGGTACAAGTTATACAGATTTACAGAAAAAAATAAACAGTAGGAAATCACTAGTTAATGGATTACATATTGTCATCTTAGAGATAATTGTTTAAGTCATAAAATTAAAGCTTGTAAAGTGGACATTCCAACAATGAGACTGCAAACAGAGAACTTTAATTTTTAAGCTAGTGCAGGTACACACTTTTCAGGAGGCTGAGCCTATTTTTTAAATCACTTTTAGCATGGTCAAGTGACGTCATTTCATCATTGAAGTGTGATGGACGTGGCTGTGCCTCTTTGAGATGTTTCTGAAGTGTTTTATACAATTCTCACGGCAGTCTCCTTGCACCTCTTTCCTTCCTTCCTTCCTCCCTCCCTCCCTCCCTCCCTCCCTCCCTCCCTTCCACATTTCCTCTGGAGTGATTCCCTCCGTGTAGCTAGGCTCACTTTCATGGACGGAGACTTCTCTTACAGGGCTACTTTCAACACCACATGTGTTCGTTGGCAGAAATGAATAAATATTGCCAAAGAATTCCATTTCCTCTTCTTTGAAGTCCTTCAGTTTTCTCTGTTAATAATTCACATACGATCCTAAAGTATTTTAATGTCAAAACTTTAAATGAATTTCCTCCTCATGAAACATTATGCATTATTAAAGCTTTTTAAAAGGATTTCCTTTTTATTAAAGAACTGGTATAAAAGGTATAATCTCATGACTGTCTTCTAAAAATTCATCTTCAGGCTAATGTCATGCTTAAGCTCCCACATCAGCAGAGTCGTTTCCTAGCCAGCAGAATGTATTCATTGTGGCACACACCACAGGAAGTGCGAGCCTTACAGAGGGCCCCCAGGACAGCTCTGATGTCACGGAGCAATGTCATGTGGCTCTCGTGCACAGCAGGCACAGCACATGACGAGCAGGTGCTTGGTTCACATGAGTTAAGGGAGTAGAGGGTACAGCTAACTCACCCTGTCATCTGTCAGGTCTGTCCTGGTCTGCCGGTACTAGCCGGGGACTGGAGCTCTGAGTCGAATCCAAGAGTGTCTGGGAAGAAATGCGCTTCTTAGTGGTTCAGAGCAGTGGCCCTCTGCCCCAGGAGGAATTCGAAGTGGCTTTTTCACAGTGCAGACATTCTGAGTATGCTCAGGGAAACTGAGCATGTGTGAAAGGGGGAGCAGGATGCTGCTGACCTGGGAACTCACTTCCCTTCTTTCCAGGAAAGTGAGGGACGCTACCGGGGTTGACATCAACATGCGCGTGGGAGTGCATTCTGGGAACGTGCTGTGCGGCGTGATCGGTCTGCAGAAATGGCAGTATGACGTGTGGTCCCACGATGTTACCTTGGCCAATCACATGGAAGCTGGCGGAGTCCCTGGGTAAGGCCAGACCTCAGGTGTCTATCTTCCAGCTGTCGGCCCAGTTATGAGGGTGGCAGGATAATACTCCATCCTTAGGGGTTTGTTTGTGTCCAGAGGATTCTGGATGCACCAGAAATATCATAGTATGTGGCCAGGTCAAGAGGCTGCTAAGTGACTTACCAGGTTTTGATGACTTCTTGCTTGTGTTGGCATCATGCTATCATGCTACACAAGTTTAGTGACCTCTTGTAGTAATAAGACATGAACTTTTGGGCCAGGGATGTGGCTCATTGGCAGAACATATTCCTAGGGGTACACAGAAAAACTTGAGTGCTGCAAAGAAAAATTAAATGCAAACTCTTGTCTCAGATCCACCAACCTTTTGACCTCATGGTTGAACACTTGATATAGATGCCAAATAAACCCTTATGTATTTGCAAGTTATGAATACAGACCAGCATTTTCAGTGTTCTGTAATGCAATCCAGACATGCTATTTCCCTGGCAGTGTCTGCCTGTTAACACCAGCACTGTTAAAAAAGCAACTGCCACTTCTTTTTTTGGTGAGAAGATCCTCAGGCAGGAGAATTTCAATGCCAGGGCTGTACTTTGGAGATGTGAGAGTGCAGCGCTGAGAAAGAAAATCCTTACTTTTAGGCAGCTCAGCACTTCCCCTCAAACACCCTTGATCTGCATTTCGAATGATTTCCTCACATGCAAAACTTTGATGCCATCCAGTGTTCCCTGCTGTAATTCACTGCACCAGCCGTGGAGGAGTCTGTGCAGGCAAAAACCTCAATTAGTAACTGATGACCTCTAGAGTCCGGCGCAGTGGGCTGTGAAATAGAAACCTTAATTGTAGCCAGTCCTCCCCGAGCATGTGATTTCCCTTCTTTTGAAAGAGAAATTATTGCTCAAATCACAAGTGCAACATCTTTCTCTACATTTATCTCTCTGTGTCTTGACTGAATGTCCCATGGGGTTTTAGGCGTGTTCACATCTCCTCAGTCACCTTGGAGCATCTGAATGGAGCTTACAAAGTAGAGGAGGGAGATGGTGACATTAGGGACCCATATTTAAAACAACACCTGGTGAAAACCTACTTCGTCATCAACCCAAAGGTTAGTATCATTTTAAAGAGTCTGTGATCAGTGTGTGATTTCTGTGATTTAAAGGGAGGAGAGGCAAATTTTGGATGTACATGATTGTTTTTAGTCAGGGATCAGTTTAATTCTCTGCTGGTCTTTACCTCTACAGTGACTTTAGAAGTATTTAAAGGCTTAGTTAGGGAAGGTGTCTGGTGTGGATGTGTTCAAATATTTATTAAAGAAACAGGAAAGAGACAACATTTGTGTGCTCAGTGAGGCATGAGTGCCACTGCTGGTTTGGGCTGCTGTTTGTATCTTGTATCTGTGCCTGTGTGCTTGTGTGTGTGTGTGTGTGTGTGTGTGTGTGTGTGTGTGTGTGTGTGTATTGATGTTGCTTATGAAAGGAGCTCAGTGGGCACAACTTGGACACCAGAGAGTTGGGAAATTAAAGCCAAAAGACAAAGCCACAGGACTCAAAGGATAGAAGCCTAATGAAAGGAAATAGAATGAATATGCGAGAAAAAGAAAATGAAGAAGTGCTTTAAGATTAACAGAGAAACCTCACATGTGCCTTTGTGTGGGAATGCACGCATACACACACATCTACTTACACTCCATAAAATCCTCCATCATGAGGAAAACAGCTGACTGACCGACCGGTCAGACAGTAAGAAGCCATCTCCTCCTAATGGGGTGGCACTGCGTGTTAGGCCAGACCAAGGCCCCTGAGGTCTCAGTTCTGCCCACGCTTCTCAGATTCCTCCCTGTGAGGTGTGAGACTGACCTTCACTATCAGCTTTGACAGATGAAGACACTGAAGGGATTATGCAGCCCCCCACAAACCCCATAGCTGGCAAAGGGTATCACAAAATGACAGTCAAGTTCATGTCATTCCTTCGTGATTGTGCCCTTGAAACCCCAGTTTCAGCTTTGGAGACTGATTGTTCGGGAGATGATTGTTCTAAGATGAACCAGTGACAAGCAACCTCCAGGGTGCTGTGAAGCGTGCAAAAAATATATTCCGTTCAGACAGAGGATACTAAAATAAGGATGCGTGAGGTGTCTTCTCACTGGAAATGCCCCGATCCAGCTAGCACTCTAAAAAAGTTCAATCATCAAGATAGAGCTAAAACATGAACATATTTATTGATGAATGTACTTTATAACAATGTCCATTGTAGGCCTATTATTTTTTCCTAGGCTTCAGTCACAGCTAAGTTTTACTCACTCGAAAAAAAACAAACAAACAAACAAAAAAAAAACAAAAAACCCTTCAGATGCATGAAGGAGCAGGGGAAGAGGACATGGGGTGAAAGAGTGATGTTGGGTGGGACCGACTTGGCCAAGGGGGACTGGAGAGCAGGACATGGAGAGCAGGACAAGAAGGTGCAGAGGAGCCCTGGGACCAGCGCTCTGTTTCTTCTCTCAAGGGGGAGCGACGGAGTCCCCAGCATCTCTTCAGACCTCGACACACCCTGGATGGAGCCAAGATGAGGGCCTCCGTCCGCATGACGCGGTACCTGGAGTCCTGGGGGGCAGCCAAGCCTTTCGCACATCTACATCACAGAGACAGCATGACCACTGAGAATGGCAAGATCAGCACCACGGTAAGCCTAGCACCCCCACTCCTCAGTGCTGGGTCCCAAACAGCTCACTCCCCGACCCAACAGAGGGCTGCACTGCTCCTGCCATGGTAACTTTTGTTGGTGTTCTTGGGGTGACCTCTGAGTCTATGTCGCTCCAGGTTCTGACCTCCAGCGACCACATTTTAACCTTATAACCCCCCCCACTGTGTGCCATCAAAAGCAGCCATTGTGACAGACTTTCATATTCATCTTTCAGTCATAAAGTAGGAAACCTTGAGCATCCTAACAAAAAGGCAGATGAAGGCAGAATGTCCTTGAAGCCTGAGTAACATTATCATGACTGTTAAAAGCACTGATGTCCACAGTGTGTGGCCAGCAATGCACACGCCTTCGCTGTGGAGTGGAGGTCACTTCCGGTTGACACCACTCCAACTTCCCACATGGAATAAAGTACCAAAGCTCCTTGCAGCAGGGACACATGCAGTAACAGGGAGAGAGTGGCGAGCACACAGAGCCGCAGGAGAAAGGAGAAGTAACGAGAGTGAAGCACTTAGAACATAACAGCGTTAACCGTATTAAGGGAGCAATTGAGATTAAAAAGTAGTATCCAACATTACGTGATTCTCATTGACTGTTAGAGAGAAACCTGCCAGGTGGTCAGATGAAGGTGAGGTTTCCAGTCTCGCTGCACCCCACAGCCCCAGTCTAATAGTGACAGCTGTAAGCCCAGGTGGGGACTCCACATTTTCTGTTGGTTTCATTAACATTCGTGACTTAGCCCAACTTCTATGATGTTTTTTCAACTGAAAAATCGTGATATGACACAAGACTGTGACCTGTCAGTCAGCAAAGCACACGGCAGGACGAGCTCTGGAGCGTGCCTTCCAGGGGGCAGAGGGTTGCTGTGAGCATTCTAAGGGTAAGGGGAAGTCATGGCAGAGCTTTTACAAGGGAGAAACCTGACATATTTATGCTTTGGAAATAGGGATCAAGAACATAGTGGGTCCTGACAGAATTGATGCCCTCTTATTCTAAGGCTTCAGAGGTGCGAGCTGTGAAATAAAACCAATGCCTAAAGTTGAGAAATGAGACCTGGGGAGGCGGGTGAATCTCAGAGATAGTGAGGGGCAGGCTCCACGGTGGAGAGACAGATGATGTCATTAACGGAGATGACAGTTGCCAGGCGAAAGTCAAGTTGTTGAAGATGAAAAAGTCAAGACTTTGCTAAGGGATATCTGAGTGCAATGCGGAAGTGTTGATGGCTACACACACCAGTCCTGAGCTCAGCGGAAGGGGTCCATCTGGAGATGGAACCAAGAGAGTCATTGCATTTCAGGTGACCTTGAAGCCCTGGCACTGGGCAGAATCGTGAAGAAGAAGGAGGGAGCTTGGGATATGTTAGAAAGAAGCATCCTAGGGTCCCAGCATTCCTTCGGCTGCCAGTGAAAACAAATGCTCTTGTCAGCCTTATAAAAATAATGATTTGGATCTTTGTGACCCAATGCTGCATTTATTGCTAATGTTCATGGCTAAAAACTGGGTCTCTCATTAGGATTTTTACTCCACAACTCTTGGTTAGTTGACTGGTTGGTTGGTTGGTGTTTTAAGAAATATGAATCATTTATAAATTTTTGCATGTGATTGTTTACGCTGTTCTTTCTGAATATGTCTGAGAAACAAGTCTTACTTTCCTGGTGTTGAGTTGTGGTCATTATTTCTTATGTGTGTATACAGTGTGGTGTGACCCTGAGGTGACTGTACCCCTCATTAGCTGGCTGTGGAACCTCAGGAGTGACTCCAGTCTGACTTGAATCTGTCATAGTGTGTTGGTAGAAATACCACTTCCAGGGTAGGCTGGGACTGTTTATTACTTCCAACTGCAGAAAACTGTTTATAAACTCAGAGGACTCTTGGACGAATTCGGTTTCTTTAGTGCTCAGGTTTCTCCTGTCACAGGTTCAAAGGCTCGTGTTACTTAATGACAGTAAAAGGACGTTTTAAGAAAGTCCAGTGTCGCTCATTAGCCCTCCCGCTGTCTTATTTAGCTTTGTGACTCACAAGTTTTCAGAAATACCCATTGTGATTTTTATTAATACATTTCCAGACTAAACAACTGTCATTACAAGTTATTTCTTTTATTTAATCCCTTAGCAGAATTCCATTAACTCTATGCTGAATAACGCATTATTTTCCTTTCTATAATAAAGCATGGAGCCCAGTTACTTTTTAAAAATGTTGCCTTTTCTTAGTCTAAACACGATTCCTAATCTAAACTCGAGGTTCAAACCAGCTAACAAAAGTTTCTGTAGAGGTAACATTTCTTTCTTTATTCCAACTTTTATCCTCACTTTTTTCTCTAAAATGGATTTTTTAGAAGTCTCTTAATGATATTTCACTGTGAATTCTCCCAGGACTCTTCTAGTCCTCTTTCTGGAGCTTCATTTGTTACCTGTAGACTTCTTCTTTCTGGCCAGCGTTTCCTGGTTTCACTTACTTAACCTTGGTGCGTTTCTTAACAACCCAGTCAGACAGTGAAGACCGATGATAGATTTTACTGTTACGTTTGTGTTTTAAAGGATACTCTGATGTTTGTTCCAGGCCAAAGCCTTGTTTCACTTGATTGTAAATTGCTAACATTAACTCTAATAAAGATGGTCTGCAGGCCGTTATCAAATCAAATTTGTTAATATTAGCATGCCAACTTAAAAAAAAATCAGACAACAGGCCTGATACCTTGATGTTTAGAGTTCGTAGATTATATCAGCTCTCTAAGCATAAACTGATTATGGTTTATGGTTAAGTGCTTTTGCCCCACCTCGCTGATCACCTGTTACGTAAGTGCTGCTTTGCCTGCAAAACCAAGAGCCACATTATTTATCATTCTTGATGCAACATTCTTGAAATATGTTTTAATAACTCATAAATTTTTTTCATATAGGATGTACCCATGGGTCAACACAACTTTCAAAATCGCACCTTAAGGTATGGTATATTTTCAGCTGTCTAATTTTTAAAGCTTACTGCATTTATTTATTTCTGAAAGTAATCATCGTCAGTTATAGTCATTTCAAAGCCTTCTCCTAAAAGAGCAGCTACTTGTGAAAAGCCCCGTTAAATTGCTTCTAGCTTCTAAAAATAAGATTATTAGTGTTTGCTGTTAGAATCAGGAGAAGGAGAAGGCAAACACCACCTGGTAATCACTGCAGCGTGTTGAGTGCTTTTCTTGAAATAATTCTTCTTAATATGAACCTGTAGTAAGAGCTAAATTGCTGTAAAACAAATGTATTGCTTAAAATTAATTTTGCGTTGGATGCTGAAGATAAAAGCAGGCTAAGTCCAGCTTTTTATAATGGAGCTTCCCACCCTGCTCAACAAAGGAAGCTGTGTGCACCGCCATCCACCCGTGCCCGGACTCCCCATGATAAATCCTATGCCTTACAAGGTGTACCCCACCTTCATCTAACTTTAGTGCTCACTTTTACTTAATATTGGTTGTGAAATCAGCCTATACTTGGAGACTAGAAGATCAACATAAGATATAAACCCAAAAGGTAAAGCAGCTTTTCTTCCCCCACAAGGAAGTCATTTTATTGGAGGTTCAGTAGGCTTACAAAAATAAAGGAAAAACACAAGACCCTGTATATTTCCTTGTAGACTGTGCATTGTATCCAAGTAAAAGCTAAATGCACTTGGACCTCCTCCTGCCAAACCATGGCAGTAGCACACATTTTAAAATAGTTCTTCTGTATATCTTTATTGCAATGGGCTCTATTTGTCTTTTGTACAGAATTTGAAAGTTTAGTTTTGAAATATAATACTTGTATTCCCTATGGTATAAGAAGAATGTGGTTATTAGACCTTTTATAGTCACGTGTATATTTAAGAAAACTGAAGCTGATTTTAATATTACGTGCCCCTGAGAGAGAAAGCATAACCTCAGAGGGCAGCAAGACACTAGCACATGCGTCAGCTGCTGCTCCGAGGAGCTTCGTGGGCTTCCTTCTGCTTCCTGTCTTCCGTTGTCTGTGCCCTTCTCCATGCAATTCTGCTTCAACAGTCAGTCCTCTTACTAAATTGGCTCATGGAGCCCCAGGATTTTGTGAGGCATCTTCTGAGATGAGCACAGCCTGGCAAAGACCTGTCATTTTTTATCTCTACTAAACAATAAAAAAGAAATCAGATTACATCCTTGCAGCATTACTTTGCAGGAGATGTTGTTGCAGGATCACTTTGAGGAGGGGCAGTAACTGAGGCACAGTGGCTCAGGATGACACCCAGGGTCACATGGTTGGTAAAGATGAAACCAGATTTGCACCAGGCTCAGTGACTCTGAAGCTAGTGTTCCTCACCATGCCTCTGTCTTGTTGGCTTTACAAAGAGCATCTCCATATTTCTTTAGCTTTTCTCTGGGGTGGTTGGTCTTTGCTGGCCTCCAGGCCTGTGGCAAAAAAAAAAAAAAAAAAAAAATACCTTTGAGTAAGTCTCACCTGCGCCTCCTCCCACTTTTTTGGCTTTGGAAGATGGACCCTTAGAAACCTAAGACTCCAGCCTCACCAGGCAGCCAGCATCACCAGTGCTTTTAAGTCTAGAGAAGGACCCTGAAAAAACCAATGGCAGTAAATTAGCAGAGCATCAGGAAGCCAGCCGTGGGGCAAGGACAGGAAGTCAGTTGTGCTGGAAGTGAGAGGGCCAGAGTCCTTACTGCTAAACCGACAGCTCCTCAAGACTATCAGCCTTATGACTCCTTATCACCTTGAGGACAAAGGTCAACAAATTACACAGACTGTATTTCCCAATTGTGGTCCAGATAATAGGTGAACTCAATGGATAACATGCTGTTTACTGGTTACCTTCTAGGCCACCTATGTGATGTTGAACTCTTTTATAGGCATTATTTACGCTAACCTTAAGGAGAGTAACAGGCAATGCCATTGTTAGGCTGCACAAAATACTAAAGATGTGTATTTTCCTGTGCACTTCATCAAATTGAATTCAAGAAACTCAAATCTACTGGTGGGAGCAATAAATTAAAAATAAAATATCTGAGTTGCTCGTAACATCCTGTGGAGCTCCTCATCTGTGTGTAAGAATGTGTGAGCGTACTAGATGATTCCTAGGATTCTTCACCCTTTCAACAAAGAGTAAAGAGGTTGGGGATGTAGCTCAGTGGCAGAGTGCTTGCCTAGCATACATAAGACCCTGGTTCAATTTTTAGCACCAAAAACAAGAAAACAAATAAATTTGTCTTCTTCAAATAGATTGAAGTTTGTTATGCCAAACCTTCACAATTCAGTTGGCTGAATATAAGCAGATGACCCTGTAATATTCTGCCTTGTGACCTCAGACTGCCTTCAGCCTGTTTGAAAAGGTTAGAAGCACGGAATTACTAATAGAAGTTTCTGGAATAAAAAAAAAAAAACCCTATCTGTCTCATTAATGATGATCCTGTGTGATTTAATTAAAGATAAATGATGATGTGAGTACATATTTAATGCTCTTCTTATCTCTAGCTAGAGGCAGTTCTGATTTCAGGAGAGGGTTATTTTTATTGCAGATTACGAGGTGCATTCACTTAGCAGTTAACCCATCAGAACACACAGACTCTTCCCCTGTCCAAGACAGGAGGCCCAGGCTCATTAGGCCAGCTGGCAAAGGCCAGGCTGAGCTTGTTAATCTTTGCTGCCCGTATTAACTTTTAAAAATAGCCACAGCTTCTTCCTTCACGTCATTCTCATGTGAATTGTCAAGTTCTCTTTGAGAAGCACCAATTACTTAGTGTAATCTGCTCAGAAGGCAGCTTGTATTTTGGATAAAAAGGACCATTAGGTCAAGACCAAGTGAGGTAATCTACAAATGTAAGGAATTTTCTGTGAACACTGCTTTTGAAAGCTAAGGAACATTTAAATACATACAATTAAGCTTTGATATGCAGAAAATAAGAGTGTAGTCTTGCACATTCTTGAAACCTGACTAAGGAAAACATGAAAAAGGAATGGCTCTTTTGTCAGCCAAACCAGACTCTTGCATGGAAATTTCCAGAGCTGGTATGTTCTGTTATAAAATGAAGTTTATGGAAGCAGCATATCTAGGACTAATACATCTCTTAGGAAAAAACTTCTTTTACCTTAGACAGTAAATATGTATCTTTCAGTGTTGATTTTTAAAGCCTAATAAATTTCACCTTCAGTAAAAAATAACCAACTTCTGTAGTGAACCACATATCTGGCAAAGGGCTTTCACAGAATTTGTGTTTATAGAGAAAATCCACACATAGATTTCGTTCTCTTTTCTGTTGTCTTATTAACAAAATTAAACAGGAACCTTGGTATCATAAAAAAGTAGGCCTAATATTTATTTTCATGCTACTTTTTTAACTCATTACATTTCTTTTTCCATACAGAACCAAGTCACAAAAGAAAAGATTTGAAGAAGAACTGAATGAGAGGATGATTCGAGCCATTGATGGTATCAATGCACAAAAGTGAGTAATTTTCATCTTTGAGTGTCTCACTTCGAGCCCCATTATTTTAAAATGTTATTTTACAAAAATGTTTCACAGCAGCTCTGAAGGTACGGATCATGATAAAGCCAAGTTTTCTGAGGCAGTTCCCTGATTTCACTTGGTTATCCATCGTAATAGCTTTTGCTAATATTTGTCTCATCGTTTTTAAAAAGTGCTTTATCCCCACCTAGAAAATCCTTCAAGTCAATTACTAATAAACAAAATGAGAGGCAATCATGGAGAGAAAATTACTGCCTTGTGCGTTACTAATAGGGATTCTACATGGAGAAATCTTGAGATTGGTTTCTGTAACACTAACCATTCAGGATGCATTGATTCCCCTACAAAATTAGAAGACCTTGAGATGCCTGCTGTTCCAAACCCTAGAAAAAGATTAAAGTCTAACTTTGCAGAGGCTGATGGAAGGAAAATTGATTCTTTGGGAAGCAAAGACTTGCCAGTGTAGTTATCAATGAGCTAAGAGATGTAGAGAAGAAGCAAATTAGAGGACATGGTGATTTCTACTTGCTGGACAGTGTGGTTACACCCACTGGCCTTTTAGCAGTGCCTGAACCCTGGAGGACCTCATGGAGAACAGAGACTGGTGACTCGATGTGATTCCTGGGACAGAGGAGACACACTCAGTAGATGTTTGTAAAGTGACACTGTAGTGAAGACCAGCGTGTCTGCGTGAAAAGCCTTCATAGAAGCATTGCCAAAGTTATCATGCAAAACAGTTCTTGAAAAGCATAAATGTTTCTCACTTAAGAACTTTCTGTCTCCAGTGTAAAGTTACAGGGCCTCAGCTAATACAGGATTTTGCAAATTGCACAATTTATTCTGTATAAGTATTTAGAGCATTTATAGGGCTTGTAAAAATTCTCATGAACCTCCATGTGATATGCATTGTGTGTGTGTGTGTGTGTGTGTGTGTGTGTGTGTGTGTGTGTGTAAATGCATATGCACCGATGCAATAAAGGATCCATCGTGGTCAGGCAAGAGCTGCACATCAGATATCTGTCCTGCTGAATACCACCTGCCTAGAGCTTTTTCATTTGTTCCAAATAGACAAAGCCACTACCTGCCCCAGTGCCCAGGGCACACCAGCAGTGCCTACACAGATGCTGGGCTTTGAAACTGCAGCTCATTGCAAACCAAGACGCAGAACTCTTACCTGTAAAGCTACCCACAGCTAGAACCTCTGGGAGCCTCTTATTCTATGTGGGCAGGTAGAAGGGCAGACTCATTCAACCAGAGGAAATAGCAGCTGCCACCCCCCAGACCAACACACAGAATTCACAGAAAAGAGAAATCGTGTTCCTTGACAGTGATTAGCTGCCAGTAATAATATTTGAAAGCCAATCTTGAAAGTCACCCTCAGCATGTACTCAGAGGGACTCCTACCTTGTTAAGCGACCTCTGCATCCACCTCTTAGAATGTTCCTGCAGAAGAAATTAATAGAAAGTACAATCCTTAGGTTTGCTTTTGTTTTGCCAGGGTTGCTTTTGAAGCGTCTGCTCAGTATGTTTCAGTGTTCAAATGCATGTTTAGCCAACACCTTAGAGGCTCCATGCAGCTTTATTCTAAGAAAAGTTTTGTGTTGGTGTAAGTGCTCCTGCTGTAATTTTCCCAATGCATTTCAGAAGTCACATACAGAAAAGTCCTTTGCTATCCTCAAAAAGGAGAATTTTTAGATGGAAGCTCTTGCGCATATATTTGCAACGAATGTCCAGCCTGTTTTGTTATGCCCTCCTCATTAACTGCTCTTAGTTTGATATAGTGTTCTGATCTTTTAGTGCCTCCCAAGGATATGATTGGGGCTCTGGGTTTCGTGTATCAACCAGTCATTTTCTGCTGTTGACTTCAAACTGTAGATTGTTGTTTGTTCATTCCCTAGTTCATTTCCCTGCATGCGTGCGTGGTGGCAGGAGCTGAATCGTTCTGCAAGCTGGTCCTGTAAGAACCTTAACCCTATCAGGTTGGGTCCTGCTCCCTGCACCTGGAGTCACCTTACCTACCCTTTCCCTCCCTGGCTGTGAACACAGCCACGCTGGAGGTTGGGGCTTTAACCTGGGAAACTGGGAGAAGGACACAGACACGAAGTCCCCAGCAGCAGGACTTTGGAATCAGGATGAATGTTTTCATGCCGTGCGGCACATGGTCCAGGGGAACTGTCAGGAGACCATGGAAGAAACACATGCTTTCTTTCCCCCACCTTTGTCTCCTCTTGTTTTTCCCTGTAGTTCCAAAAATAACATTTGACCTTATCAGCCCACACAAATCGCTCCTATTCATTTAAGCAAGCCACATAATTAAATCTCTGGAGTCTTTACCAACCAGCAGTGAGAACTCAGACCTCTTTAGAGAATTCCCAAGGATGATTAAGTCAGTGGGTGTTCTGAAAAACACAGTCTCCTTAATCCTAAGGACCAGGTAAGAATCCGAGCCATCACGTTTTGCTTCCAGGGAAACCACCAAATTGGCCTTAGAAAAGAGATGAGGGTGCACTGGTGGGAATTCAGTCATCCGCCAGCCCTCCTGGCTCAGGAAGCATTGAGTTAGGCTCTGAGGACACTGGATGGGCAAGTCCTGCCCCGAGACCTTCCTGTCCATCTGCATGATACCTGGACTGGGGGACAGTGGTCTTCCAATAAAGTAGGAGCTGGCTTCATTTCCACTCTGAAAAATTCACTCATTTTGTTTCCAAGTTTTCCAAGGAGCATTTTTAAATTAGATTTTTCTTTGTCGATAAAGAAAAGAACTGTTTTTAGTAAGCCATCTACAAGTATTATTTATATTTTAATAAACACAGTTATAGAAGTGAATACAGTTAAAAATTATTTCAATTTTATTTTCTGGACTTTTTAATATTAATCACCCTTTGATTCTTCCAGCTAATCTTGTAAAATATAGTAATAGCGTAGTTCCATAGCCAGTATAATAAGAAACACCAAAAATTTTGTTTCTCTAGTACCTAAAGCTTATAGCCTTGAATCAAATGCTGTTTTTATTGGTCTCACATCTTATGGCAACCTGGCCACAGGTTTCCCTGCCTCAGTTGAAATGCATTGTGCACAACTGGGTCTTCTCGTGATGTAAGCTGACTGCTCCACGTCTCTGCCAGTGGCCTGTGTGTGGAGAGCTCCACGCAGACTGAGTCCCAGCACCAGGGTGGAGTCAGGAGGTGGCTAATCTGGTAGAAGCATCTCATTTGCTTCTTCCCCAGCTCCTCCAAGGCCTTAAATGCTTTATCTCCCTGAATCATTTTAGGACATCAGAATCCACAGAAATACAATATGACCAGCAGATTGGAGGATTACTACATCAGGAAATTTATGTGACTTGGTAATTATTTGAAAAGTATAACATGTTTTAGAAATTTTTCTAAAACAATTACCCTTTGATATGCTAGTATATACTCTATATTTGTACATGTAAATAGATATATATGTATGTATTTATATATGTATATATAATTATGACTGCACCTCTAAACAGAGATGCAGTCATAATATAGATATATGTAGTTGTATACACCTATGCACACAAACATATAGATACATATATATTTGAGATTGTGTTTTTTCTTGTTTTTTGTTTGTTTTGGTACTGGGGGTTGAACTCATGACCTTGCACTTGCCAGGTGAACACTTGTGCCACTGAGCAAAATCTCCAGCCCTTACTGCGTTTTTACAGTTAGAAAACTTCTTGTTTAAGGAAAATAAAAGTACAAATCTTCCAGTGATGAGTGAACCAAATCAGCCAGCAATGTGTTACCAGTATTTTCAAATCATTTCCTTTGTGAACAGATTTGGGGCTTCCTTATAATGCTGTATTGATGGCTATAAGATGTCTTTCTGTTTCACCATGATTGACCTTAGAAACTGCGCCTTTACCTGCGGGCGGTGTCAGATACTCCTGTGCACCTCCTGTGTGGCTTATTCAGCATGGGGCTGTGTACGCCTTGGGGTGCAAAGTTTCCTCCTTACGCTAGTTCTCTAGGTGCAACTGCTTCTCAAAACAAATTTCTAAAAGTCTGTCAGCACAGGTACTGTACACTTCCTCATACTTTCCATTTAGTTTTCAACATTACAAACTTACATACGTGCTTATGTGTATGATTTTTATGTTTTCGTCAGCAAACCTGCTGGGCAGTGGCTCATTTTATTAGTACTTTTAGCCAGTTCTGGAAAACTGTAGTCAAACATGACTTTCACTTTCCCAAGATGTAAAAACAATGACGTTGAAAGGATTCTCGGCAAGTGTGGAAGAAACTCTCGCAGTTCCGATGCTCCATGTGAAGAGTTCCTTCTCCATGCTGAGGAAGGGTGCTTCTCTAAAACCCAGATCCTCCAGGAGATGGATGCGGTTACCGAGGGACCCAGTCTAGCCACAGGGAATGTGTTTATTGAGGAACATGAACCCCTCTGCTGGCTTTTCTCCTTAGGTATTTTGTTTGGATAACTCGAGTTTCCATTTGATACGACAGTAGGTCTGTACTGTAGACCCTCTGAGAAGAGCAGTTGGTGATTACAGAGGTTGTATTTGTAGATCACATTATAACCGTCTGTGGGGTCCGCAGCCACTAATTGACATTATGTTTAAAAAAAAAAAAACAAAAAAACTCAGATGGGGATGATTTAAAATCAAGAGACAAGGATGCAAATCATGTTATGGAAAGTAGTTCCAGATGTTTGGTTGGAACTTCAGTTTTTTGATATCTGTCCTTTTTATTTCCAGGCAATGGCTCAAGTCTGAAGACATTCAAAGAATCTCGCTGCTTTTTTATAACAAAATTCTAGAAAAAGAAGTAAGATAATTTTTTTTCTCTGTCCTCCAAATCCATCAGTTTTTCTGAAATGATAGTGTTGAACACTGTCATGAAATGGGCTCCTGCTTTTGCCCGCGGCACTTTGCTGCCTGAAGCTGTCTCAGAACCCTCTTTGGCTTTTTCTGTGATTCCTCTATGCATATATTATTTCAGTGCATTTCTTGCTGTCAGGCTTCTGTTTTGGTCCCTCCCGGATCCCAACACTTGGCAATAAGCAGTGCCGGCCCACTTCTGAATATGGGGAGAAGGATGAGCTAATGTGTCACTTTCTTAATGTAAAATTTTCTTAGGAAAGCCTGCCATGTCCTTTCAAAAATTGCTTTACTATTTTGACAAAAACAGGAGTTTTGCATTCAACTCCTGTTCAGAAATATTAGAAAAGCAAACGTTCAAGGTTTGTAGTGTCTACATCATTTCACACTGTCTCTCAAAGTCAGAGATATTGCCCACAAAGAGAAGCAGGCTTTTGGCTTTAGTACATCAGTTTTAATACAGATTCATTAAAATGAATTAAGTAATTATTGCAGGAAGGACAGCCATTCTTGCAGGCCAGCTTCCCTTCTTTGACCTTTTGTTTCATGTCGGTCTAGAGAAGCAACAAGATTTAAAAGTAATTTCCATCGTCTAGCCATTTAATTTCAGGCTGAGTTTGAACAAAAGCAGTTTCGTTAATGGCAGCATTTGTATCACTGGTAGTAAAATTCTGTTGAAAAAATTGAGTTCGTTACCTTTGGATGTTGAATAAAAATAATCAAATATCAAAAATATTTCCAAGCTTCATCAGGGTCAGGTTTCACAGGTGCCCCCAGACTTCCCACTGTGCTGGTGAACAGAAAGGTTAACCACCCACTTCCAAGTAATGGACTCGACTGCAGACATTTTACCAGTGTGGTGCTTGATGAAACGTGTTACTACTGATCACCTCCCTCTCGAGAGATCATAACAAATATGAAGGCTCCTTATTGTCTGTTACTTCATGATAGAATCTGTTTTCTTCATGAATAATAAGATGAAATTCTAGCTCATACCTCTGCACAAATCTAAGAAAGTTAAAAAATAAGGGTATAATTGAATGCATTGGATATAATCACATTTCGACAATTATGCTAATAAAGCTTTTTCATCAGCATGTATATTATCCTGGTTAGTAAAGCACAGCCTTTTCCAAAAAGAAAGCAAAAAACAGAAGGTAATCATTTCAAAATAGGTTTTCTTACATTCTCCATGTGTACATACTTACAGATACCCCTTCAAAGCCTATTTTAGAGAGCAGTGAAACTGAAGCCCACTTTTGTCCAGCTGTCTCCAGCCTGCATGTTAGGCCACCAGGCAGGGTAGAACAACAGGATACATGGGAAGGAACACATCAGTAGGCCACCTGGAGGGCCGTCCTTCACCAATAGAAACCGAGAAGCTGGAAGCCAAGAAACGCGTATGTTTTTCATAGCTTGAGAAACAGGTAACCCCACTGACAGACACTGGTAACCCCACTGACAGGATCTTTAGGAGGTTTCAGTGGAATGCCAAAGAATTTCTTCTCCTTTACTTTCATGCTAAGCCTTCTTTGGAGAGGTGGCGTAGCTCCACAGTTGGGAGTCCCAATTCAGTCTGCCTCCTGAGGGTCCTGGTTCCTCATGAGCTGTGTCTCCCCGACACTGTGGATCAGTCATTTTGGTCCACAGTTTTGTCATTCCCGGACAGGGACAGCGATGGCCTTGGTGTGAGAATTAGATGGGTGTCTCCATGAAGCTCTTGGACTGTCCGGCACATGGTAATGGCTCCTTGCAGTAGAGGTCGGTGTCATCATCTTAGGTGTGGCTGTCTAGCTCTGTTTCCCGTATGTCCCCAGGGGCAGCCCTGGGTAGGCAGCCAGCAGCACACAGCCCTGACAGTAGGAGGAACCCTGCTGATTGCACCAGCCAAGAAGAAGGAAAGAACAACCCATGACCATGCCCAGAACAAAGCCTGGAAATCTTCACTTCCCTCCATCTTTCCTTGCCACTCAAAGCGTTAAGATAAATAATAAAATACAGCCCTAAAATAAATGCATATTTATTACATTTCCTCCACACTGTTCAGAATTGAGATCGTGTGAGTGAAAAATCGTCTTCTTTCCCCAAATAATAGTGGGCACAAGACTCACAGGGGAGCCGGGAAACGGGCACAGTTCACTGGTCCCGTGGTTCACCCACTCCGCTTAGTGGTCAGGGCGCTCGCTCCCGTGGGTTTCCGAGCAGTCGCAGTCCTCCACTACGGTGCGTGGGAGGCTCTCACGGTTCTCTTGGAAGGAGGAAGCTCTGATTGCCTGAGATGAGCAGTCGAAGTGGGTTTATGCTGTGGCCTGTGACTCAGTGGTAGAGCTCTTGCCTTGCATGCACAAGGCCTTGGGTTCGATCCCCAGAACAAAACAAAACTAAAACTAGGTGCGAGAGCTGGTGAGCAGCTCCTGTCTCCAGAAGCATCACCCGGGTTTCCCTTCTGTCCTTTCAGTACCGAGCCACCGCACTGCCAGCGTTCAAGTACTACGTGACTTGTGCCTGCCTCATCTTCCTCTGCATCTTCATCGTGCAGATTCTCGTGTTGCCGAAGTAAGTGCTTGAGGCTGCCACTGGGCCAGACACTGTCCCTCGGGAGCCCGGGGTCCTCGGTGTGGCTCAGTGGAGGGGGAGCTCAGCACCTGCAGGTGAAGGCGCCGGGTTTCTTGCTTAGTCACAGTAATACTGAGTTTTTAACATGGACATACTAACTCACTTGATAAGGATTTCTTTTAAAGTTTTATTTGCTGTGCATAATGAATACATTCACGGAGTGCAGTTGGTACATGTATGTAACATGTTTTAAATCTTTTTGTGTCTCCTTGCTCTCCTCTGCCCCCAACACTTTATCCTCTTTTCATTTGCAAAAGATCTATTTCTTTTTTTCTATTGGCTATTGTTTTTCTTTAAAGAAAAAAAAAACATGCTGGGGGTGGTGCCATATGCCTATAATCCTAGCACTTGGGAGAACAAGGTAGGCAGATCTTTGCAAGTTCAAGACCAGCCTGGGCTACAAAGTGAGCTCAAGGCCAGCCTGAACTGCATAGTGAGACCCTGCCTCAAAAAGAAAAAAAATACCAATGTAAACAATGGTACAAAATTTCAAAACAAGATTGTAGGAGTGACACTGGTTAGTACACTGCTGCTCATCTCACAAGTCACAGACATGAAAGAATTGTCTATTTTTTATTTTGCTATTTTATAATTTTTGAGTTTTTCACACAAGAGAAACCATGCCTCTTTAAGCTTTCATGTCAGATTTATTTCACTTTACATTATAGAATCAAGGTGATTCTGTTTTCCTCCAAATGGTTCCAACACGTCTTTTCTTTCCATTGTGTTCCGATACCACATTTTCTTTATTTGTCTGAGATAAATGTGACCGCTTTGCTTTGATCTTGGTTTTACCGTGATGAAATGCTGCTCATGAAGAGTACTAAGGCCGGCTGCTATTTCTAATGAGGGACAGGCTTCCCCACTCTGTCCATTTGTTTTCACCTTCTGTGAGTGACACTTCCCTTCCCTTGGGGATTGCTGTTATGGATGATATTGTTGGGTGTTTTCTTGTTTTTGTTTTGAACCAGAGACTGAATCCAAGGTCACTGCAGCGAGCCATATCCCTTTCCTTTTTTTATTTTTCACTTTGCAGCAGGGTCTTGCTAAGTCTCTAAGTTGCCCAGATAGACTTGAACTTGCAGGCTTCTGGAGTCACCCTCCAGGGTGCTAGATTACAGACATGCACTGCCACTCCTGGGTTCTTCAAATCTTAAATTCACCCTCTGCAGTCATCCTGACAGGCTCCAGCTCGCTGCTCCCAGAAGAGATCCAGATACAGAGGGGAGGATGCAGCAAAGCATATCCCACACTTTGGGTGGAATCCTTTCGATTCCACTTACTGGTGAACGTCCAGTCACTGTGTGATTTCTAAATGATCTGTTCTCTTACACCTTTTTAATCAGAGTAACACAAGGCAAGTGCTAATTCTCATTTTACAATCTAAAGGGAAAAACCTCATCTTTTTTACAATAATTGAAGATGTCGGAAAGGCAGGCTTCTAAATTAGGACTTCTTTCCCCTCACCTGTACCTGGTTTGCACCTGCCGAACCTGTCATTTTCAGTGCAGGGGAATTCTGTTGTGTGCTGGACTTAAGTTCTGTGGTACAGTCAGCACTTGCAAGCAAATGAACTCCTTAGGTTAGGTCACAGTGTATCTCATGAAGATGCTTCGTAAACTAGAAAGAAGTGCTTTGTCTTCTGCCTGTGTACTCAAGGAATTGCGGGAGGTGGGAGGGGAAGGAGCCAGTACAATGGTGTGTATAGAAATATTAAGGCAAAGATTATTCAGCCATGTACAGTTCCTTTAGCTCTCTGCTCCATTTTTTGGAGAAGTTCCAAGTATGTTTTCTCCTTCCTCATGTATAAGTATTGGAATATGTGGGCAAGAGGAGTCCTAAAGTCTTCACTGAAGTTTTCCAATGTCAACTTATTAGCTTTATCGTCAAGAACATTCCAAGAGATTAAGCCCCATCTCCATGCCAACCTTGTATCACGTGGTGCAGGAGATGCATCAGTCCCACATATATAGGCTTACAGAGCAGGCCGTGTGCACTGGGTGTGTTGGTGAGTGAAACACGCCCGGGGGGGGGGGGGCTTGCTACTTACACCAGATGAAAGCGTTTGTGTTCTTCAGCTCCCCATGGGACAGGCGTCTCTATGTGCCCTACACCACAGGAAGCACAGGGCCTCTCACTCCCTGGAAGGAAATAGGAGCAGGAAAGTCACGAGGGCCTTTTAGAAGATGACAGAGACCAAAGAACTTCAGGAACCAAGAAAACTGTCTTATGGAATTTCACGTTTAGGACATGTCTCGTGTTCTGTGCTTGGTGTCTCAGCACAGATACTCTTGTCTCTCTCCGGCTGTGACACTTTTTATGAGACCTGAGGGAGCCCATAGTCTTGTGCTTGGTCACCCATTAATCCATTTCTTTTTGAGCAACAAGCCAAGCTCTGAGCCTTGGGTCTGTGTTACCCACTGGTGTCGCTGCCAGGGAAGCGTGCAGAAAGGGCCGAGGCCTCCCCCGCAGAGGCTCCACACTGCACATCTGTCCCAAAGCTCATGTTGAGTTACTTGTCTTCTTTTGTCTTTCTTTCATGTTACTCTTTTTCTTTTCTCTTTCCTTCTAAACAGCTTTTGCTGGGGAATATTTCAAAGGCACAGTTAGTACCATACACATGCATTTACCTATAATCCACACTTTTCAAAAATGCAAACCCTGCGTCTCGCCTGCTGTAGCAGACTTCTTGTTCCTAGGCTCTTCCTATTGTGGCATGCTTCATTGTTAACAGCATCTGTTTTTATTTTTTTTTTATTCATACATTCCAATAGTACCTTTCTTAGATTCATATGACCGTTCCCCTTGAGTTTCTTTATTTAACCGATGTGTGTGGGCATACTCCTATCATGTTACGTTTCCTTTCCTTTGGTTCTTTCTCCCCTCCTTCCTGTCTTTAAAAAAGCAATTATTTTATTCTGGTGTTTCTTTTACTTATCAGTAAGCATGTGTAAACAAACACATACACATGCACAATTATCTGTATGTGCTTTATTTCATATTTGCCCTCAAATATAGTTTAGCTGGGTATAAAATTCCAGGTTAGCTTATATTGTTCCTTGGCCTTATGATGACAGTATTCCTTGCATTCTGTTCCCTTTTTGAGAAGCAAAATGTCCTGTTTCAGGCTCATGACATCCTTTGTAGATAATGAATCTTTCCTCTCTGAGTGCCTTTGCCATTGTGGGGGTGGAAGAAGGTAATGCATTGTTTCTAGATGTGTGATTAATGCATTGTTTCTAGATGTGTGATTGTTCTTATGTACCTAAGTGACTGGTGTGATTTTTTAGTCTACAGGTTCATATCTGCTCAGTTGCTAAACATTGTCTGCCTTTACCTTCTCACATACTGCTTCTCCTTCATTTTCTGTGTTCTTTCCTCCTGGAGGTCTTACTGTCAATAGATTATTCTTTAAGTTCTACGCCACTTGTCACTTTTCCTCTAAGTTTCCAGTCATTTATTTACACCACATTCAGGTAAATTCCTTGTCCATTTTGAGTTTACCATTTTAATCTGTCTGTGCTTATTTTCTACCTAAGGATACTTAATGTCTTTCTAAACCTCACTTTTTAATATGTGATTCTTGTTTTGCCTATAGATTTCATAATTTTATTATCTGTTATTTGCCAGTTTTAAATAAATTACATGAAAATGCCATTCCAATTCCTGTAGTTCCTATGTAGGTGCATCATGCCATGTAATTGGTGACCATCTCAGGATCCCAGGGTGACTCAGGGTGAGAGATTCCACGCATCCCCTGTGCTTTTGATTGAGTCTGTCAATAGCAAGGCCTTTGGTTCATGGTGAGCTCATGTGTGGCTTCACCATGGGACAGTTCTCGTTGTCAAGTCCTAGTCCTGGAGCTCAATACTCCAAGTCTAGTATTTGTTAAAACTTGCACAGCCTCAATGAGTCAAGTGAACTTAGGTCAGCTTTTCTGACACGAAGCTGGATTGGAGATCTCTGTTTTCAAAGATGACTTTTTTATTCACATAGTTAACTTCCTTGGAAACTGCCAGGCTGGCAGACAGAGTTCTTTCTGTTTTCTCTTTCTTGGTGAGTAACATTTCATGGCTCCTGACTTTATTCAAAAGCTCAGTTCCAATTTTTGATTAATTGAATGCATTAAAGCATCATCTAAGGGGATAGATGTTAAATTTAACCCTCTACAGCATGTATCAGCCCTGGGTTCTTCCTGGTTCGTCTATCATTAATACTTCCCAGCATTCTATTTTTTTTTTTTTTTTTTTGGTCTTTTTCATTTTTACCGGTACCAGGGATCGAACTCACGACTGCCTGCTTGCAAGGCAGGTGCTTATGCCGCTGAGCTAAATCCCCAGCCCCAACCAGCATTCTATTTTTGAGTGTCCTCTGTGTGTCCAGTAATTTCTCTTTTTTGTTTATGTCATGTATGTGAAAAATAATTTCCCTAGGCTTTATGAAGTATTTTTATTAGAACCATGGTGCTGTCACTTCTGCTGACATAGTCTTGTCTTCTACCTTGTTGGTTTGTACTTATGCTACATTTTGTTTGTTTTCTTTTTGGCGGACTACGTGTGTGTGTGTGTGTGTGTGTGTGATTCTGTATTAGAATTTTAATTGATAAATCGTGGCTGTGTATGTTTATGACACATGGAGCGATGTTTTAACTGCAGCCACACTGCATGACAATGGAGTCGGGCAGCTGACATGCTTGCATCTCCTGTTGCTTTTCCAAAAAGGAAAGCAATAACCAAATAAATTAATAATAACAGAGAAATGCTTTACTTGGAAAAGAGCAGCAAATAGGAGTGTTTGCCTGAAATTTCCTGACATTCTTACTCAGCTCATATATAACTTTTGTATCTGGTTGTATTGCCAGGATTTAAGCAAGTGTAATTAAATTATTATTTGGTTCTTCCTCTGGGAGTTGTTTAGTCATTCTGTCTTCTTTGTTGTAT